CATACTTCACGGTCATTTCTTGTTGTCTCTCCTCCTTCCTTTCTTAGCCTGATTACCTGGTCCTTGACTGTTGTTTTCCTCCTGATGTGGCTGTATAACAGTTTCGGGTCAGATTTGGCTTTCGCTGCTATGTCGTTTCCATATTGTCTTTGGGCCTCCCTTCTTATCTGAGCATATTCGTTTCTGGCTCTACGACTGCTCTCCTTATTCTCCTGTGTCCTTTGCCTTCTATATTTCTTCCATTCCCTAGCACACTTGGTTTTTGCCTACCTGCACCTTTGGGTGAACCATGGGCTCATCCTGGCTTTTTCATTATTCCTGTTACCCTTGGGTACAATCCTCTCCTCAGCCTCCTTGCACATTGTTGCTACATATTCCATCATCTCATTAACTGGCTTCCCTGCCAGTTCTCTGTCCCACTGAACCCCGTTCAGGAAGTTCCTCATTCCCGTGTAGTCCCCTTTCTTGTAGTTTGGCTTCATTCGTCCTGGCCTTCCTGCTTCTCCCTCCACTTGTAGCTCTACTGTGTATTCGAAGCTTAAAACCACATGATCGCTGGCCCTAAGGGGTCTTTCATATGTGATGTCCTAGATATCTGCACTGTGTGTGTGTTTGTGTGTGTGTGTGTGTGTGTGTGTGTGTGTGTGTGTGTGTGTGTGTGTGTGTGTGTGTGTGTGTGTGTGTGTGTGTGTGTGTTTGGTGTGTGTGTGTGGTGTGTGTGTGTGTGTGTGTGTGTGTGTGTGTGTGTGTGTGTGTGTGTGTGTGTGTGTGTGTGTGTGTGTCAAGCGTATCTTAGAATCGTACACAACTAGCGTACAGTTTCCAACGAACTAGACAACTCTGAGATAGTTCCCGCTTCCCGGGATTGCTTGGCCGTGAACGTAATTATTGTAAATTTAGATAAACGGTTTCAGTCGTTCTGAAATAGACGTGTGTAACTGTGTTGGTATGGATGGTGGAGTTGGAGGAGAGTTTGAGGAAGAGATGGAACTAGTTGTACCCTGAGAGCGCCCGGGAAAGGGGAGGGGTCTTCCTAGCTCCTTGCTCTAGGTCATCTTGTGTGCTTTGAGGACCACTTCTGGCGGTCCATTCATCGGTGTTGACAAGAGTTGTGCTAGTACCCAGAAGCGAGTGAACTTTGTCCTTTGCGTATAAGATGTGTACTGTGAGTGATAAGGTGTGTACTGCGAATTATAAGATGTGTATTGTGAGTTATAAGATGTGTATTGTGAGTTAGGTTTGGTGTGTTCTCAGTTTTTCTCAGTTTTATGTAAAATTCGGTGTAATTTGGTATTGTTTTATCCCGACTGGCTCAGGCTGTCTGTATTGTACAAATATTAGCAGCTCTCTGTCACCAAGAAGTGTGTTATGCATCCCTCGTGTGCATATACGCCTTGATCTTATGAAAAAATCAATATTTTAGAAATTAAAGATGTCAAAAAAAGGATCCAGCCTTCATGATCAGCGTGTAGTTGACAGGTGGTATTTTGCTCGATAAGTAAGACGTTATGACTCACGAAATCGTAATGACACGATTGCCAACAAACCATACCACGGGTGGGGATAGAACCCGCGATCACAGAGTCATAAAACTCCAGACCGACGCGCTAGCCACTGGGTCAGCTGGCTACAAGATTCATCCCACTGGACAAGTGGTCCCAGTTAGTCATACATCCACTAACCAACCAGAGCTAGAAATTTACTTCATTTAAAATAATAATCATTATTACCCAGTAGATTCCTAAAATGGTTTCTGCTCGATAGGTCGTCCTCATCCCTACTTAATGCATTATACTTTTCCGTATATTCTTTTACAGCCAACTTTGCTTTAACGTAATTCAAAAATCATTATTTCTTGTTACTAATTATAATAAATTTATTCATAAGAACATAAGATTAGAACTCTGCAATAGGTCTACTGAACCATGCTAGGAGGGTCCAACTCTCACCCAACCACGACTTTTTTTTTTTTTAGCCGATAAAAAGTCGTAATCATGTTCACCTGCTTAATAACTGAAGGTGTTCGAGAATGTTCCATCGTAAATAAGAGGAAAAAAATATTTTACGACGTAAGGGAGGAGAGGGTCAGTATGTTAAGGGAACATTTGCTGGCTTCCCCGGCTCGTAATGTATCAGCTGGGAGCGATCTTTGTGGAGTAGGAGCCAGATTACCGTACTCATGGCCATAAACCCGCTATCATAATCGTAGATAAGCAAAATTGTGCACATTATCATGCCTTTTTATGAGGTCGTTGTCGTACATTTGCCACCTTTAGTGGGTGATAATGCTGGGTTGGCCGCTGCACGATGGTGGCTGCTTCTGGCCATGCTAGCGGATCTCGACACAGCATAAGGAGAATTATATCCAAACGTTGGGAAATTAATCTCAAGAATATCTGTCGGAATATCAACGAAAGCACTTTACCTGTCTTGTTTGTGCTGGGTTGTGCTGCATCATAACATACCAGAAATTGAGAAGAGATGCGTTACTGAAGCAGAGATTTATTATTACTCTGGAGCCTATTACTGCAAATTGAATTGTTTGCCAGAGTAATAACACTCAAGGTAATTTATGACATTCAGCTAAACTCCTCGATCATTACAGATTATATATGTGTCTGCCAAACTGCCAGAAGCACTTGTAAATAAGTCAAAGCTTGGGAAGTACAATATCATTCAGTGTACATTGCAAATTGTTCCCTTAATATTCTTATCTACGTTCATGTTATCATAATTAATCTACTCAGACAATTAACTATTCTTATGACGTTGAAATTAGTTATTTATTTCTCTCCAAATATTATTCTTGATGCTGGACACAGATATCAAGTTATTTTATACATCTTCCTTCAACACATTATTTTGCTAATTTATCAACTTTGTTACGTTGGATAATTCTGTGTGATAGAATCTATAAGAATTATACAATAATTCTCTTTTCTCTGATTTTTTTAATATATGTACCTGACTTCTCCGGTGAACATGTTGGTAGAGCACTAAACCCGTTCAGGTACAGAATTTTTCTTAATGTACTGCTACTACAACTACTACTATAGATACTGCTTCTACTACTAATAATAATTATAACAATATTAATAAATAATGTATATTTCCAAGAGGGTTTATTTGTTCCCGTTGACTAGCGCTCGGTTGGTAACGCTCTCACACTAACGTCCGGGGTTCGATCCCCGGTACGGGTGAAAGCATTAGGATGTGTTTCCTTAAGACACCTGATGTCCCTGTTCACCTATCGGTAAAATAGGTACCTGGGTGTTAGCCGACTGGTGTGGGTTGCATTCTGGGGGGGGGGGGGTAAAATTCGCCTAATTTGCCGGAAATGCTCTGTATAACAAGAGGTTTTCTATATAGTATATCACTGATGTCAGATATGTACATATAGAAATAAAGATTTTTATTATTATTAATATTATTATTAAAGTTCAGTTTATTTCGGGTATTTCCAATGAAATTTTGACACAGTAATTAAGGATACTTTGTATACTGAATATACCACTACCTGTTATGTCGAACACGGTAGTAAGAAATTAGAAAAAGAAATAGTCAAAGGTTTTCATGGAAATAAATCCAGAAATATACCTAAAGTTAAGATAAAGTTATAACGAAACAAAACGTGATATGCAAATTTTCTAAAAAACAAATAATCGATTTCAGGAAGTATTCAGCATATGGAAAACCATCTAATTTTGAAAGTTGTATAATTTCGTAAATGTTTGCAATCGTAGGTCACACAAAAGTGATGCCGTAATGTCAGAGGGCAAAACCTTGATAATAAGAGATCAAGAGATGATTATTCACTCAGCTCTAATGTGATAAAGGCAGGAGAGCATGAAATTGCATGTTTTCTCTCTTTTTTTTTTGAGTGGGGGACTGTTAAAAAATGAGTCGTCAGGTGTCAATAAGCGATGACACAAAATTATTGCGATGTAGGTAGACATATGAGGCTAATGTATTATCGTGTAGATACGTGCCTCACATTAACTAAAACTAGTGCAAAGCTTAGGTTAAAAATTACTGCATGACAGTGTCTTTGATTATTTTAGAGTTTTGGGGAACATCGATGTTGAATTAAACTACAACGAAGATTAGTAATAATGGTAGAATTACCCACAAAATATAACGAAGATAATGTAAAGAAATATACAGCATGGAAAGTTAGGCGCTGACCTTCATATAACCTTAAAGGCAGGCAGATCTCTGGTGCTATTGTGAGAAAGGTCAATATGGAAGGCACTGTTTATTGACACCGTGATAAACGCTACCCGTGATCCTCACAGTGACGGCGTCGTCCAGCAGCTGCGCAAGAAATTATATGTAATAAATCCAAGCAAACTCAAGAGGATAAATTATATACTAGGAAATGGTTATAATCATAACCATGATTTTTAAAGAGGTGGACGGGTAAACCAACGGAAGTCCTCGGTCAGATGACCAAAAGCTCCAGCTGTGGGTCATCATATGGCTAAGATCCGCGTCAGGATACAGCTGTCCTATTTCCTAACGAACATTATACCTACCTACCTCAAGAGGATAATTAAAGGTTCTTGCACTATACAGACTGGACAGGTCCCATCATTTCTGTAAGTTAACTTCCCAGAATCTACAATGTGAGCTGAAAATGAACCAATACTTCCTGAGGGAAGTATTTTTCTTTCATACTTACGTTTATTTGAAGAGTCTTAAAATAAAAATAAATGTTAATTTTAATCGTGTGATATACTTAATTGTTCTTGTGAGACTTTATTTTTATAAGTTGTTAATACTTGTACTTGTGGACCTCCAAATGAGGTTTTATATTTAGTATATCTTTTATATATCGTTAGCTCCCTGTGTGTGTTTCTTAATGGTTCATATTTTCCTGCAATATTTCCTTTGCAGCTTAGCAAGTCTAGACCAGGTCGACAGGAGATAGGGGGCGATAATCCCTAGAACCTTTAACAAAATAAAAAAAAATGATAATCTTTCCTCTTTCCGTATTGCAG